CCTTGACCCGGACTCGCTTGTCCGTCTGCATGTCCACCTCCAGAATGACGTCATCAAACCCTGCGCTCTGACCCGCCCGCGCCTCCGGTGAGCGAGTGAGGGTCACCTGATACCCTGTGGCCGTCTCCTGCACGTCTCCTGACGCTCTGTAGCCGTAGCTGTCCGGGTAGTGGCACCAGGGGGCGCTGGAACCCTCCACGCGGTTGTACACACACCTGGCAGATCCGGGCAGAAAAAAGAGGTAGATAAGGGGTATTGAAGAAATAATAGATAGTAATAATCGATATCATTTGTATAGCTCAAATCGCCGCTCAATAGCAAGCTCTATGCGCTTCACAATCTATACTATTACTCCAGCAGACCTGAGAGCATTCTGAAACAAACTCAACTTCCTGGGAAGCATACAGTGGAAGCAGCCATTAGTAGCCGCTAAAACACTAACATACTGACAAGATCTTTCGCTGTCTAAGAAGAAATCATCATTATTGTTATCATCATCATCATCATCATCATCATCATCATCATCATCATCATCATCATCATCATCATCATCATCATCATCATCATCACCTCATCATCACCATCATCATAATCGTTGTAAGCAGAAAATTAAAAAGGTAGAGACTAGGTAGGATTTCTAAAATAGATTATGTAATACGTTCAACGTTTCGCCGTGTGGCTTTATAGGGAACTTTTTTTTTTAAATCCCCCTCATATTCATCATTATCACCACAAATTAGTACAGAGCCTGAACTCCACGAGCAGTTCCCAGCGATGCTCTAATAAAATTGAAACAACACACACAAATAATAGTAATAAGAATAAATAATAATGCATGACATTAATATAGACATGTATACAAGTTTAAATAACAAAAATACAACATGTTAGAACAAATGTATAATTGGGCCTATTGGATAAACTATACAGCAATATCATACAAGTACCAGCAATATTATACAAGTACCAGCAATATTATACAAGTACCAGCAATATTATACAAGTACCAGCAATATTATACAAGTACCAGCAATATTATACAAGTACCATTAAATGAAATTCGTCTTATTATTAAAAAAACACGTCATTAATAACAGATAGGGACGTTGTTTTGAAAACTTTTGGTTTGATTTCCTCAAAAGCCCGAAAGCTGTTACTGTTTTGCGTATTGACTGATAAAAAAATGTTTCCATAGATTTGGAACAGTAATAGAGAGAGATTGTTCCTCAAAACACGTTAAATTTGGCGTATCTTTAGCTTATTTGTATGTTTGTCGGATTTCGTGTCCGTTTTAAAAATTGGAGTTGGGTAGCAGGTTGAGACATTGAATGAATGTGTTTCGTGATTATAGGTATAGAAGGAGGGGGGGAGAGAGAGAGAGAGAGAGAGAGAGAGAGAGAGAGAGAGAGAGAGACAGAGACAGAGACAGAGACAGAGACAGAGACAGAGAC